TTTTTTAATTTTTTTGCTTGAGCTGGAGGGAAAACTACTATTGCCACTAAGAAAGCTACATTAAGACTATTGACAATTTATTTTTGAATTCTCTCATGGGCGCCGCCATTTTGTAGCCAAGTGCTCAGCGCACGTAATTGGCAACGTGATTGGAAACTGCAACTTCCTGACCATTAACTATGATGTCGGGAGGCTCGGGTGATAATGTCTCGCTCTGCTGAGGACGATTCTAATATCTCTGAGCGATTGGAAAGCGTTTCTTCTACTTCTATAATCTAGATATAAAATTTACCTCCGGCTAAATTTTGATAGTCACTTATTTGCTCCAGAGCTGGTTCAACACATTGATACACGCATCTGAACTGGTAACCCAAACTAAAAGTCATAATAATGTGTCTTGTTTTTCGTCGTCGTGTTTTTGCAATGATACTGAAGCAACATATTAGGTTTGAGAGCATGAAAAGCTCTACTGGCCATGCCAAAAAAGTGACGTTCCATATCTTGTAATGCAGTACAGCTAGTTCCCGATGGGGTTACACTTTTTGATGGCGTGAAAGTAACTACGGTTAGGCCCAATGCCTGCAAAACGAAACGTAATTTACAAAATATTTAGATTTTTAGACCGCCTGCTTGACTTTTTCATTTATGCAACAAGTTACATCTCCCCACTCTAGAGCGCAGAAAATGTTTGTTTTGGCACTACCTCCATTTTCCCTTTTCTCAGCGGGTGATTTCATCTCAAATCGTGCAAAAACAAAATGATGTATCCACAAAATATTGTGAATAAAATATATGTTTGCGAGAAATATGTGACTAGAACAATACTGCAAATTAGAACTACGAGTATTTCTTGTTCTCGAGTTTTGGGCTCCGAAAGGCCAGAAAGTACGTTTTGCATTTTTGCAGTTTCCACGAGTGACACTTTTTGAAGTCTCGAAACTTTGTGATTGAATCTTTATTTACTGCATTCAGACTTTGATAGAAGGGCTAATGTTTTCTAGAAGTCAGTTTTTTTATTTTGTTTTATAAAATAAAAGATCTTGAATCTTGCACCTTTTACAAAAGGGGCCAAGTTTGAATCAAGCTAGTCTTCGGTGTACGATTATTTATTTAAGGCTTAGGAAACATATCAAATTAAGCAATTTATATAAGCCAAACTAAAACTTATAATATTATTAATTTAGATGTCCATATAAAAAAAACCACTAAACTTGAGAATAAAAGCTAAAAATACAAAATGCAGCGGCATTTTTTTTATTATTTTTTTTCTTTATTTTATATGGAAAGCTTTCTACGTGTTCTTATATATGCAATAAACTTTCTTTTTGGCATATAAGGTTTCGTATATTAAGCAGCGAGTTTGAAAATAAGGCATATATTACCTCCATTCAAAGATGAAAATATATGGGCCGTTGCCAAATATTTGACATTATATATATATATATATATATATATATATATATATATATATATATATATATATATATATATATATATATATAACGTGACCACAGTAGTGATAATATAGCTCACTACCATTTAGTGAGAATTAGGCATGACTGGTATGTCATAATTTCTCAGAAGTTCATGCACATGTCCAGTTCACTTATAATATCTTAAGATTAACAAGTTTTCTTTATATAAACTTATTGAAACGTTTTTTATTTAACAAACCTAATAACATAAAAATTAAGTTTCAGAAACTTTTATGTCAGGAAATGTAGGGGTGCGAATTTATTTTAAGAAACCTATAAAGGGCCGAGTGCAAAATTTTGCTTCTTTCATGCGGCCTCCTTTACACGTATACTGGCGAGGTTCGTTTTAAACTGCTTCACATCCTTTTATTTCAGACAATAAAAAAGAATACAGATAAACGGTGGAAATGCATAACAATACATATTGCTCACAGTAACGTTTATGGTGATAGAAGAAAAAGTGAGCGTAAGTGAGGTTAACATTACTCTTGAAGATTTGCTTTTTTTTATCCCAACCCTGAAAGACCCGCTTCTCTATTGAGCCTTCATTCACGAGAGACAGGAATACATTTTTTTTCACAATACCCATAATATTTCATAAATTTTTCACTGTGTCATGGTATTTGGGAGGCATGCTGCTTCATTTTTTAGGAGTACGTCCTGGTACTTTAGGGGCCACTACACCAGAAAAATTATCAGCACTTCCAATACTTTCCAGTTCTCACGATCTGAGGTTGTGCAAGGAGGCTTGGTGCTTGAGAACTCTCCTCACGCCATTACACGCCCTTTTGCCATGTCCCGTCGCTTAAAAAATCAGTTTGGTCACCTCTTGTCTCTTCGCCATCTCGTGCAGTTGAAACACATTTTTGGAATGACTAGCCTCTCCGTCGGTCGTGTGGACAAGTTTTGTAAATGTCGGAATGTTTTCTTCAACCACTCTTCAGCTGTGCGCAGAGCGAACAGTGCGTGTGCTCTACTGTGCGCAATGTCGCTGACAACCCGGAAGCTGTAGATTCTGCGCTCCGTTGTAGAGACGCAGGTAAAGATAGACATAGTTTGGTTCTTCAAATGACGGCATTGTACCGCTCGCGGTGGAACGACGCTCCAGGTTTCCCCAAAATGAAAATGCAGTGCGATAATAAAAGACTTGAAATGCGACCTTTCTGAGAGTACAGAAAGCTGCTGAGCATGTCGGGTGAATTAATGGGGGAAGTATTTTGCTACGCACTTTCTGAGCTCATTGCAAAATGCGTTACTTCCCATTTTTTCCCTTGTCAGTTCGCTAGATTCCCACAAGGCTAGTTTCATTTATTCGTCTTCCTTCATTCCTAACCATTCCACGGTTAAACCATCTCTTTTTGGACGCACGTTACAGGTCACCAAAACGCAATCCTTAGTTAGGTTAGCACACATGCAAAGTCTCTTAATGTCTTCAAGACTGAAGTCTTGGTCGCCCACGTTTAATATTGCTGCCAGGCCAAAAGTACTTGCTCCCTCTCTCGGCTTTGTTTACCTGTGTCTACCAAACTGAGATAAGATACCAGATATGTGGACTCCATAGAACCTGCTAGCGAAGCAAAGCGAAAGGAAAATGCTGCCGCTCTGAAAGGCGGCGGTCCATGAGGCTTTGCTCGGGTAGCGCCTTCTGGTAATTACAGGTTGTCTACAGTTTATTTATTCATTTATTTCAAAATACTGCCAATCCCCGAAGGGATTATGGCAGGCATTGGTACATAATAAAAGATACATGTGAGGCATTTAACAATGAATGAACAACACTTCTCGTCATTCAAAACATCCTATAATTACGAAAAAGTTCATCTTCGACTGCATTAATAAATGATTCAACAGTGCCGTGACTGAACACCTGTGGATCAAGGCTATTCCATATTCTAATGGCAGAGGGAAAAAATGAGTGTTTAAAAGTTCTTCCTTTTCATCACGTGCATGCCCTCTAATATGGTAGTCGTTTCTAATTTTCACAGTGACCTTGTCTGCACCGAATAAATAATCACGACAGCTCTTTATAAAGGGGACTCGACACCTAGAGTTAAATAAGGGTGGCGCCATGTTTTTGTCTTGCTCGGCCCGTGGATTGCCATTTCGTTCCCACTGTCCGTCGAAAACAAATAGCTAATGCAGCTTACGAGAACCTTCAAGGTACTTATATCTCAACTAAAAAACTAATATAAAAAAGCAAAATTAGAGAAGACGCGCACATTGCAGAAAAGCGAAAGCAAGCGCCGAAGAGGCGCGATGCTATCAGAACTGATAGTTTCACCTACGAGATTTGAAAGTACGTTTTGTATTACAAAAATAAAAGCGCCAATAGTAAAGACGGAGATTGGGAGGTTTCAACAAGGCTAGCCTAGCTATCAAGTAAAGGAAGTTGTTTGAAGAAAGAAAAAAATCCATGCAAGCTTATTCAAGTGCTCGGCGGGCCGTCGCTTCAAACTGTTTTCCCTCACAAGTGCTTCATTAACCCACGAAAAACGTTTAAACGTCGTATATATGTTTGCCAATTTCATATGACAACGCTTAAACATTACTTAACATAGTTTCGATTTCTGTAGTTTACTAAGCAAGCAAACAAAACGTGCGGAAGAACGCCTTACAATATTATACTATATATACTATCGACGTTTAATTCTTGCCGAACTGTGTGTGGTCTCAAGAACCAATACAAACTATGACCATGCTAAAAATAACTAGTATTTAAATAAAAAACGAAATTACGGATATATGCGTCGTAGAATGGAGGTGCAAATATGTCCTAAAATGACGTCGAATTTTGTACTTTTAACTTTTCTTCTCCGGATTACAATGTTGTTTCTTATGTATAAACTATACTTAAATTAACAATAATGTGATTTTTAAATAGGCTTAGATACAAGCTTTCACTTGATATGTTTCTTGTGCCTTAAATAATTGTATATCGAAAGCTAAATCGATTCAAACTTGGCCCATATTGTTAAAGGTGCAACATTCAAAACTTTTTCTTTCATAGAAGAAAATAAATAAAACGCGCTTCTAATAAACCTTAACTAGTCTATACAAAGTATTAAAGCAGTAAGAAGTTATTATTGTTGTGAAAAAAATATAAACTTTGCGAGACTCCAAAATGTGTCAAAAGTAAAAACTGCAAAAATCGCAAGACCTACATTCTGCCCTTTCAAAGCCCAAATCTGAAAGACAAAAACACTTTCACGCTTTAAATATGCAGTTTTCTAGTTACACATTTATTCACCAACATATATTTTTGCGCCATTTTTTGAGGACCCATGATTTCTGTTGCACGACTTTAGATGAATCACGCGAAAAGCGATTTTGAATTTGAAGATAGTGTGTGGCATGACCGGGAAGAATGAAATTTGGGTATTCGGAAAATGTGTTTGTGCAACATGAAAACCGCCAGATTTGCCCTTCAAGTGACGGACCAAGTGTTATTTTTCAGGCGTCGGTTATCCAGCGTCTCTAACCGCCACAGAGGCGGCACTCTGAAGCAGCCCGCCGAACGGCTCTCACCTTGAGGAATATAGTTCCTGCAATGATGATGCAGAGGATGTTGACTACGGTGAGGCAGAAGGAGTTGATGGCCATGACGGCACATTCCTTGTGCATGCTGGCGTTGTCGAAGTAGTAGGCGCTGAAGCCCGGCTGAGCGATGAACGCCGGGTACGTGAGTACCGTCCGCGTCAGGTTGCTACCGGGCACCGGCACCGTCACCTGCGACAAGGCACAACTCGTACTCCGCCAGCTGAATCTTGCAGTCATATGGGAACCTTCCACGCAGCTATGTTCCTCATGCTTTCTGACCGCTCCGCGTCACAATATCAGGGCATGTCATGGTGTCCCTTGACATTAGTCTTGCACTAAATTTAGCGAGGAGATCGACGTCAGTTTTAAGTTGTAACGTCACGTAATACAATGACGTCGAGGAACGTGAATTTCCCCTTCCAAATTAGCTTGCGCATTGTAACGTCAAATAACACCTTAACGTCTCTTGACATCATTATAATTCCACCGCTAAAATTAGCGGCGAAACTGACATCTCGTGACGTGAATTTCCCATCAATTGCCATCGCACATTGACAGAATGTTTACGCCAGGAGAATTTTTTGTCGCGCCGAAGGACTTACGTTCATTGGAGACTGGCCGAGCGACTTGAAGACTTTCATCAAGGACAGAGACCACAAAGTACCCTGCACGAAGAACGTGGTCGGTGAGTGGCAAGGCTAGCGGCTAGAAATATTCCGAAGATACAATATGGGGAAGAACTTGTACTTGGGCTAGTTGGTGAAAGTTATGAAGCATTAATTCAAAGCTCAAAAAACAATAGACAGAAGAAAGAAGTCACACACACAGGCTCCTGCGTGTATGTCTTCTATTTGTCGCTGGTATTTTGCGCTTTGCACCATGCTTCAATGCAATGTGGTGTTCGTCTATACGCAAATAATCAAGAAAGATCCTGCTTTGGTCATGCCCGACAAATTTCATGTACACCCAGGCAAGGAGCCCGTAACTACACACCGAATGTAATCTCGTCTCGTTTCAGGTACTCTATCTTAACTCGTGATAGTTGCAGACCTGGACCACTGTTTCAAACGTTCAATTCAGTGCAGTGTTCAATTCAGGCTGCATGCCACGGAATGAAAGCACTAATAGCAGGCCCTATAAAAGCATTGCATTTAAAACCTAACCCTGTGAGCAACTATATTCAATCTCATCCTGAGATGGACTAAAATCTAAGGCTGGCAGACGGAGCACTACGTTTTATTCGTGTAGAAAATTAGTGTGTCCGAAAGTCTATTTATCAGTTTCATATATTTTTCCAAGGCAGCCGGTTAAATCAATTGGATGGTAACTACAGGGTAGAGAGGGAACTTTACCAAGCTTCAAGAGAGGGAAATGTGTGCCCGTTTCCAAGCCACAAGAAAACACGCCCTTTCCCAGAAGCAATTAAAAAAATAGAGAAGGGGTTTGAGGGATTCAGGAGAGAGGTTACGCGGTATCTCATAATGCAGTCAGCAGGTCCAGGAGCAAATAGCTTTTTGACGTGAAGGTCCATCTCTAGCTCACTTTGCGTAAAAGGCTGATTATATGATGTCGTGTTTGAACGAGTTGTAATTATATTGCATACGGCATTTAGACCGCTTGAAGGAATTACTATAACTGGAGGAACAATACAGCAGGTTAAACGTAATCTCCCATAACTTTAGCCTATCTCTCAGTGATCCAGGGGGGGGGGGGGGGGGGGGTGAAAGTCGGAATTGTGAAACTCCTATAGTCACCTTTATTTTCCTGTATCTATGCCAGACCCCGTTAGCTGGAAAAAAGCTGCCTAAAGAGACACAAATTTCATCTAGGTTTTCCACTTCGCTGTCTTGCGAGTCCACCGTGCTTTGGCTCTTCGTTTTTTAAACTCCACCAAGTTTTTGGAGGTGGGATACCGCCTAAAATTGTCACGTGCCTTAATTTGCGCCGGGCGCGCAGAAGCACACTCCTTATTCCACCGAGGTTAGCACTTAAGAGGGAAATACCGGTAGTTTGAGGAATTGACTGCTGAGCAGCGTTTATTATCTGCTCTGTCACACACAATGCGACCTGATTCGAAGTTTTTGAGGAAAACAGGGATGTATCCAGCGCAGAGTTCAACTTAAAAAGAGACCAATCCACCTTGTCCCACTTCCTCTGAGGAATTCGTTTTAAAAGCGCGGAAAGACAAATGTCACTCTCTAAAACAAAAGGAAGTGGTCACTCCCAAAAGGGTTATTGAGAACCTGCCTGCCTCTGCCTCGTATTCATCCTTCCTGGTGCCCAATCATTTCGGTCTTCTTCATTTCATTAAACCCATTTCGGTGCAACCTTTCCCAGACCTTCATGAGCTGATTGCCGAGGTCACGCACTTCTCCAGAGTCAAAATGAGGACTTCCACATCCATTATATCGACCAGCTCATCCATCGGAGGAAAACGTCTGTCGCCTCGCGAGATACATGTGTGTGGGTAGACTACAAGGACCAAAGAAAGAATACAAACACTTAGGTTCAAAGTACGGACAGCACAGTTATTTCATATTATTGTCCCTAGGTGTTTTATTCCTTGTTTGATTCTTATGTTTTCACCATCCCGCTCTGTGTTCTTTGTTTAGGTAGAACCTTACCGTCGATGTTAGTGATTGCAGTTGTCTTTAACTGTGGTATGTGCCCTTCTAGCTTTTGATGTGACATATTAACGCTTTCTGTACGCAGCAGTCGGAATATTTGGTAGAAGTGGCCAAGGTAGTGAGTTCGCGATTTGTCAAAAACATGAAACGATAAAAATCAGAAATAGGATCTATCTTAAAAAAAAATCAGCAGTAGCCTTCGCTACGTAACAAATCTGTGTCAGTTTCAGTAAGGTCAACATTTTGTAAACAAAGGCCAATACTGAGGCAAAATCAAAATACTATTTTAGGTATCCTACGGAGTGTTACTTTAGCTTTCATTTTTAGTAGTTTGGTTTTACTTTATTTGACAAATTTTGACACTAAAAAAGTTCAATTATTCGACAATGAATAAACTATATTAGAAATTTTGTTATCAGCATTTAATAAAACTTTTTCTAGTGACGATAACCCGTATAATGCAGGCTCTCCCTCAGAAAACGGCTGCTCGCTCGAATTGTTCATGCGCGTTTCTTGCACCCAGGAAATGTCTTCGATAGACCGTCCAATCATCGCCTTCAGTAAAACATCTTCTGAACATTCGCAGTAGCTTTCTTCCGCAAAATATCAGACACCTCATAAATGCTCAAAGACAAGTGACTCTAAATTTTCTACCTTCGATGAAAAATAGGATTTCCTAAGTCCAATTTCTTTTTTTTTTTTTTTTTTTTTTTTTTTGGGGGGGGGGGGGTCATTTTTGAAGTCGGACAAAAATTTTATGTTCATCGGGGCTTAGGTGGAGGAAAACCGGACATAGGCGCGAAATTTCGCAACCTGCGAGGAACACGGGCGTGACCCGAATACTTGGAAAACGTTCCGCTACCGATAGAAGCGGGGAACGAGAAAAGGGTGTCGTTGCCGAAGAAAAAAAAGCAGCTTCATGAATGTACCGTGGGGGCTATGTCCAAGGTGAACGCAAAATAATACTGCATAGCAAGCTTTCCTTCCGAGATGTTTGGGTATTTTCTCATTCAGGGAAAGCTGTTTTTTTGGCTCGGGGGTTCCTAGCCGCGGTCGCTGAAGGACCATTCCCACTGCTCAGACGTGCGTGTCTGCAGACAAGCTTCTTATAACACACAGAATCTCCTACATCAAGGAGGCGTGTCTGCAGACAGTCCAGGGATACGTGTCTGCATGAAACGCCGTCTCTCTTGTATATGTCGCTTAATAGTAAGCGCTGGGAAGGTGTACCGTAGCGCTGCAGACCAACCAAGCACTCACGCAGTTGATGGACGGCGGCAGCAGTGAAGCGGATATGGCGACGCCCACCAGGCAGGCGGAGTTCCCGCCCAGGATGGCCATGGCTACTCCGGCGCCCGACGGCAGCGCCACCAGGGCGCCTACCCACAGGCTCCGCCACTGACCCCTGCCATGAGAGAGCTTCCCGGTCACCGGCTTGACCAGCCTTTGTCGATCTAAGCGAGCACGCGCCCAACCGTCATCCTACGAAATGCTTTTATTGCTTTTGGTTTCGCATTGAGGGTTTCCAGCAACACACGGAAAGGCGGAAGTGTAACGACAAGTCGTTCGCTGCACATTCGCCGGTTAGGTAAAATTATCTTTACTCGCCTATCAAATTAAGCGGATTCCCTGAACTTTATGTGCAATACTTGTACGTAATCTTCGCGCAAGAATTTCGACAGGCACAATCCAGACAGAATACAATTTTATAGAACACGCAAATGAACTTAGAGCGGGTTGGTAACGAGGATTTGTTAAGAACAAAATAATTGAAACATGTAGGGACGAGGAATTGTACTCTGTCTTCGTTCCTCCTTGTTTCTATTCCATCGCGTTTTTCATATTTATAGGATGCCACTCAGGGCTAGCCACTCTTGCGAAAGTAATGACCGAACATACGTTCACCTGCTATAATTCGCGGGCTTGGGTCCCGCTAATTTTAGCGGCAGGTAAGCTCGCACTGCAAGTAGCGCCCTAGGCTCGCAATGACGGAAGACCCCGCCCCAGATGGGTCCGCAGGCCCAGAACGTCTTCTACGTGCTACAAAACTTTTCGGCACGACAAGCTGCAGTTTTAATAAGGAAGGGTTGAGCTCCATACACGGCTTTCTCATGTTTTGGGCGTCCGGTGACGTGACACAATCGTCACGTGGACATAGGTCACGTGACGTCACCGGTGTCACGATCTCGGATACATGGTCGGTCCGTGAAGTCACGTTAAGCTCGTTTTCAGAATCACCCCTCCCACTGAAACAATGAATTGTCCATGAAGAGGGCCCGGCATACCTGGCAGTCTGCTCCGAGTTGGGCCAGGTGTTCGGACCCCAGCCACCAGGGCCCTGGATGTCTCCCCAGTAGGACATGGTGAGCCCGAAGAAAAACCCTGCGTTCAGACGCATGGGTGTTACTTTTAATACTGGATCAGACATTTACCTTTGACCTATCAATTGCGTTCTGATCCTTCGTAACCATTTAAAAAACTGCAGTCATCTATCGGCTAGCCGTGGAAAACTAGTAACACGTGAATATATTTTTATCTCAGTTTAGTTTTACACAAGTGGGAATTTTTTCAGGTCACCTGTTATATGGCGCCATTGTATAAGTGCGTTTCATACTCCAATTCATTTTATTGCTCTTAAACCGCCCATTCCTGGCTTTACATGAGCGGGTTAAGTGACTGCAAGAAATGCAGGACTCACTCTGTCACAGTCAAACGCAGATGTGCGAACCAGCCTTTAGTGAACATCCCGAGATTTCCCCAGTACAGTTTGAAAAGGACGGTTTGAATGGAAGTTAGATAAAGGTGAACCATTACTTAGTGCAACTGAATCATGATTGATTTTAAGTCGAACAAACCACAGAGGAGTAGACGCGGTTTATTTAATCAGTTCAATTATATTTTGCCTGCTGTGATCATTCATCGTTGAACCAGGTATACTCGGTTTCATTTGAAGCTGGATAAGCCAGATTTATATAGGTAATGTTCACAATTCACTTAGCTTTTCTACATTTAGAACTTTACGTCGTGCTCTTTCATAAACGACTCGGTGCTTTTGACACTGCAATAATGTGCGCAAGCCCCTTCCCAACCTATTTCATTCCTCGACTATCTACCGCGCCAACAAATCAATGGCTTATTGTTTCACTTCGAGGTAATTAGGTCATCGGTCACTTGACAAGAGTTCAAAAAAGGTATTCCTTTATATTCAAGCAGTTGGCGTTGAGCGTTTTGCCGACGCAGACGGTTGCTAATCGAAAGATTCTGAGCCTGCACGAAAAAAAATTATGAGTTGTTTACTCGTGAACGCCTCATGCGAAAGATCTCCCACGCGCAAGATCTCATTCCGGGTGTTCAAAAATGAGTGGCATGATTTAATCTGAGTCTATTTGAGGTTGAGACTGGAAGGTCAAGTCTCTCCTCAAGAGCACCCTGCTCCCAGTGATCATCTCCTCTCCACACACTTCCGCGTTCCCTCTGCTAAAGTGAAAAGATTGGAGAGCTTTGTGGAAGGACCTTGTGCTGCTTTCCTAACCTGTAACAAACTATGTGTTCTGGTTCACAAGACAAGCAACAAGCTACCACTTGTTCTAGACGTGACACACAAGACGTTAAAACCTTCAAAGATAAAATTAGTCTAAAACCTCAAGTGAAGCAAAACGTATGTCATGTGGCATACTATCTTATAAAATTAATAAGACGCTAATCCGTTAAATTTAGCGAATTACCACACAAAAAATCCGAACCTTGCTTTTGTTTAATTTTTTTTAAATTTTAATTGAAGGATTGTTTACATTACAATTGTTCGACATATTGGTCACGTTATTTAGCGCAAAGAAGCTTTCCGAACCCTTTGCTCTGCTAAGCCTACCCAATCTAGGCCGAATGTCAGGAATAAGCATGAGAACGAAGAGCGATATGTAGATAACGAAAACATAGGTCCTACGAGAACGTCTAAAGAAGTTGTCAGATGTTCCGCGGAAAACTACGTGCCTGAAAAGAGTGCAATGCAGAATCAGATCTTACGTCTTTCAGAGAAAACAGGTTGGCCATCAATTAGCATTTTATTTATCTCGGAGCTGACAAGCGCTGCGGAGCAGCGCTTGTCCTGTCTGCACTTCCTCTAGTCCCCGTTTTCTGCGCGCTGTTTGCCTTTTCGTCAGTATGAACCAACTAACCCACATCGCCACCCTTATTCATGTTTTTCCAATTGGACGTGGAAGGCGTTCTGTGCATGCAGATAGCTGTATTGTGGAATATCCGACGCCGAGCCCAGTGACTCGGCATTCTTGTACGTGAGTAATAAGCGATGAAAGAAGGCAGTCCGGCCCGCCACTGGACAACAGTGGGGCGTTTTCTCACCGAACGTCAGGCACAGAAAGAGGCCGAAGAGTTCGCTACGCAGCCCCACTTTGATAAGCGAGCGGTCACGGATGATGATGCCGAACGTAATGGCCATGATGGGACCCTACGAGGAAAGGCACGTCTCAGTTGCTTGTCACTCATCAAACATGCCAGAGGACAACAAAATTAGATAAATATACCATGAGTGGAGACACCAGCATGGCGGCGATAATGGAAACCACACTGTTGTCCATCAGGCCAAGGGCTGCAATCATGCTGAAAAAAAAAATTATCTCGCATGCAAATTACCCGTTCATGCAAAATTAGCTGTGAACGATTGAACAATTTCCTTAGGAATTCATTTAGAAGGAAAAAAAAAACGCAAGAAACGCTGACACTAGAAGATCGTCGAAGAAGTGGTCCCGTTTCCTCTTACTCTTGCTCGCAATTTGTGCGCTCGGTTTTATAGTGGTCCTCTAGCCTATCAGGTTGTTTTGGTACTGTAATTCTTAGTACGATGGGCCTCATTTAATATTAGTTCCAACTTTAAGGTGACAATGTCAATGCTTGTGCATCGAGTCATTTGAGAGTTCTTGTCTTATAAATTTGTAGTGAAGCAGGTAAAAATAGCAACGAGAAAAATAAAATCAGTCAGTGTCTTAAACGTTATTACATATTTAGCTGGGATGCATTCCACCTCGTGTAGAAATGCGCAAGCCCGTAATGAAAACTGTATCATGACGTCCTACCGTCCGATGACCATTCTATGGCAGTAGAGCAAATCAAGGACATAAAATAAAGTGTCATCAGAAATAATATCGTATATAGTTGAAATTCATTACCTTTGTGTACTTTTTAATATTTTATTTTTGGTCAACTGTTTTTTAGTCCTTTTAGTCTAACAAGCTCCTTTCTTAGAACGCCCAGCTAGATATAGTATTATTTCTTCTCCTTTTCTCAAAACGAGCCACATCCTTCACCTTCTTCTTTCTTATTGTATGTAAAACCGTCAGTTGTGAGTTAGCGCCTGTCCTGCCCACTCTTTTGTCTGTCCTTGTCTTAGCGCAATTTACAATTTAGTATGTATAACACTACTAGCCAGCCAGAAAATATTGATAAAGCGAAGATATGCTGCCTCGACCCTTAAGGGGACAACTAAAGTGGATTTTCAGTTTGTCTTTTGCTTGCGTTAACTGAATCAATCTATTCTCTAGGCATCGCAGAAGGTCTTAAATACAACCTTGCGTGTTGTTTTTGTATTTAAAACACGACCGAACATCGCGGCACGCCCCTCTTCTATGGTATGGTGGTTGGGTGGTTGGTTGCACTTTTACTAGAAATAAAAGGTCACGAATGATTGTAATTTATGGTGTTTTAGACGATTACGGTGCATAAATCGAGTTTGAATCATAAAAACCATCTCAAGCTATATTTTAGTGCCCCTTTAAGCCAGCACACATTCATACGTTCACAGCTACCCACCCAGCGAGCAAGACGAAAGCCACATAATCAAAGTTGAGTTCCCCTTGGGAGCGGACGCCTTCAACGACCTGAAAAAAAGCGAGACATAATTTAACACACGTACATAAGCATCGCGCATGTGCTTTCCTATCCTTTCATTTGTAGGAGGAATCATTCCCATGGCAATTTCACTGCAAATCGTGCAGGGAAAAGGGACAAATTTTAAAAGCTTTCCAAAGATATATTTCTATGCTTGGAGAAGTCTTCACTAGGACAAAACTTAAAACAGTTTTGCCGTCAAGTTTCTAGGTCTAGAGTTGTCGAATTGAAAGGATCATTGCGGATTTTCGGCTTCGGATGATCGTCACATACTATGTACTTGGAAACTTCGCTAAGCTCAAATGTCTTCTGCCAAACAAATTAACAATTTACATGGTTTTGTAAACAGCATTACAGTGGCACATTTTTAATAAAACGAGTTCTTTTATTTTATCTATGTTTGTAAAAAAATTTCAAAACCTTTGACGATAATCTACCTGATTTGAATAATGACAGCCTTTGTTACATTCAGTTTTTTTACCTACATTATACATCAACTGAAGGCTTAAACAAATACCCATTCACAAAGTACAATATCGTCATCGTCAAATAGGGTTATCTTATAGAAAAACGTCTTTCAATACGAGGGAGAATTCTGAAAGTTTCAACATCAATTTTCTCAAAAGGTGATTTTTACTTTTCGTAGTTTATCTTGTAAGCTGAGCCCTAAAATTGTTTTAAAATACCAAATAAAAATCAAATGCAATAACTTGTTTCAACGTGTAAATTCGTAGATGCGAAGAGACTATATATTTGAAGCTCTGTATAAAGATGTGAAGATGCCTCGTCGTAATTTTTATGACTATTAAATAATTCTTAGAACCTTGTCAGAGTATTTGTTTCCTCTTATTTAATACACAAATAAAGGAAAGCTATGCGTACGTTGGATTTTATGTTTAATATATTAGGGTTTCCCTACGCACGTCCAACTGAATAACTTAAAAAAATAACAAAAATCTTAATTTAAGAAAGTCCTTAATGTGCCGCAAAATAAATAAACTTTTTTTTTAATTTTTAAGCACAACAAAAGTTATTTTGGGAAGCGAAATGTTTTTATGTGCCCCCAGCCCTTGCATGAAATTTGAACTTTTTACAACTGTCGCTTCTCCGCTCAAGCTAAGCATTGAGAAGGTAGGTTCGTCTAAACTTGCCTATGTTTGTTTGGTTTCTTTCTTGAGAAAAAAAAGCTTGATATATGTCGTTGGGAAGTACATGCAACCACATAAAATATCTTATTAGCGGCGAGATGTTACGGTGGCGCTCTCCTACGGTTCCCTCTCGTGACGTCATGATCTTGCGAACAAGTTTGATGGTGTTTGGAGTTACCATGGTGGAAGCTTGAAATGATAGCGCTCTGAAACCAACTTTGCCAACACCGTCAAAATTGAAGTCTTTACATTCCTCTTATTTCCGTTGATGAGAAATCCTTTGCTGACGTCATAGCCAGAATTCGGCCAATCGTGGAAGGCCGACCACAGCGACGCTTTCGATCGCGCACATCGCCAATAACCCGTATTCATGAAAACGCTTATTATGACCCAAAAGCGCCGTTAGAGCGGGTCACAACATTTCTCGCGGTGCTTACCAATTTGCTTAACATAATATTAAGGAACTCGTCTTTGTTCTGAGCTTTCGATTATAAGTGGCACGACCGAGTGTTCTTGACTAATCTACAGGATTCGGTTCCGTCCTCTTGGAGCGAAATAATGGACCGGACGTGCTGTGACGGCATGCGGAGAGTGCTAGGTGAGTGTCGCGGCGTGCGAAGACCGTTCAAGCATCAAACCTCGCTGCACAAACTCTGGTCGACAGAGCTTGAAACAACTGGACGTGCTGATGCCTTTGTTGAACTGTCTCCCCTGAAGTTCCTTTAATTGTTCTATTAAAAAGTCGCGCAGCACATCTGACCCACTTACGATGGGCCAGCTGAACAAAGAATATATCACAGGCAAAAAAATTACATTCACACTGCTTGACTTGCAAGTGTTTAAGGGTCCTCTTTTTTTCTCCTTTATCGCGCATTTCGTATCTTTTTCTTTCCTTTAGCCGCTCTTCATTTCTGCTTTTCGGGATGAGGCCATTTGGCATTCTTCCGCGTCTTTATTTTATCTTTGCTCGGCCGCCCTGGTTAACCGCAGGAACGCTTCCCCCTTGTGGTGGAGTGCAAATGAAGGGGCACTAACACATTCCTCTTCTTTCTCCTCGATAGCTAGGGCCTCCAGCAATAGACCTGTTGCAAAACGTACAGCGCCACGACGGCAGGGGATTTCGGGAACCCTCGGTACATATCGCGCGCTCTCTCGTCGCGCCTCCGCGACTGCGCGCGCGTCGCGGCAGCTACCGTTAGCAGCCGTCGCAGCCATCCGCCATCCCGCCCATCCACCGGAACGTAATATGTCGTTGGCGCGTACCGTATCTGTGGCAAAGTAAACGCATCGCGAAAGGTGATTTGAATACGTCGTTGGTCGTAACTTACCTTCCCGTCTTGCAGCGTCACAGACTCAACTTATTTTGCACCGCGACCGTGGCAGGGTTCGAGTAGGTTCAACAAAGCTTTGGCGCAGGAGACGACAGAGGCGGTGGGGTACAAAGGAGAGCGATGAAAAAAGAGGCAGGCCCTCTCCCCCTTGCGCTCGTTGCTCGTCCGACGATCCGACTCTGCTACTCGGCTCTGGGGTGCTCGAACGTTGTTGCTATGGTAACCTGCGCCTGCTCGCGTACGCCACATGGTAGCGGGAGGAAAGACGATGGGGGGGGGGGGGGGGGGGGGGTGTACCGAGTCCTCTCATTATTCGGCGCGCGCGGGATTTGGGGATTTTCGCGAAGGGTCTATTCACGAGTGAGGTGATTTTGCAGGTATTTGGCGTATTCTCTTGTTCTATCGTCTATACAGCGAGATGTTTGGCCAGTATAACATTTCCCGCACGTTATGGGAATCCTAGATAACCTAGTTTGATATTGGGCGCTTATGGTCTTGTGTATTATGTCACATGGGTTTTCTTGTGTTTTGTGACGTATTGATCCTGCCGCACATGGAATATGCCTTCTTCGGCGCGAAACATACGACGTGTACCCCTAGCCTGCCTGCCATATTTTTTAGCCTGTGGGTAATGCCACGAACGTATGGCGGTATCATTATGGAGCTTCCAGCTTTTTTTTGTGCCTTTCTGACCGCGCTTCAAATCCTCGATATTTTCGCATATTGGCATCACTAGCCCATTCGAATAGTCAGCTTCAAGTAGCTTACAGATTTGTATGCCAAAGCTATCAAACTGGTGTTAACATGACTTATTAAGGTTGATGTTAGTGCTGTGCTGGAAACCCCACATTTCGCGTTCTTTTTATTATTCAGAGGGAAACGGCAGAAATCATTTGCAGGAACGAGCTTGACATCTCCAGCAAACGTGGAATAATTTTAAGTTCTAAGGTTCGATCTAGGGACCTACCTGTCTTATTTACAGGTAGCTCATGAGCTAACGTCATTTCCATAAAGCTCTGTTCAACGCATCTCATAACGTATACCCGGCATCCATTACTTGGCTTTTCCCCTTCCTTGTTACAGAGAATCAAGAAGTCATATTGATACAGAAATGTGGTTTCAATACGGGGATCTTTCATCACTTGTTGGATGGCGATTCCGCGTGCTGCGAGGAACCCTTTGTTGATACAAGAGGCCACTTGATGCTGATCTAAACCCCGCTCTTCCGAACATATTGCTGATCTCAAAGAGATGCCACCGTAAGCAATCGCAGCCAGCCTGCTGCGATTGGGTAGCTTCGCACCGCTGACAAATCGCAGCAGGTGGTGATATCCCGGTACCTTGGTGCCGTGTAGATTAGGGCCCCAGGTAACAACTCCAAAAACTTGTGTATAGACATTCCCGCCGCGTTTTGAAATGATGTGATGCTTTGCTCTCCAATGGACTCCCGAAGTACTTCACGAGACCTGCGTTTGGAATGGAATTGTGCATGTCTGGGATATCTTGGGATGAACCAGAAGCAATGCTGCACCAATCTTTTTGATGAAAGAAGATTACTTTTTCTTAATTCAACATCTTGAAGAAGTCTTGTGCTTGAACTCGAAATAGTTGTTTAGCTAGAAAAGTTAATACATATGCTTGCAAAGTATTTCCTTCTGAGACAATGACCCGAAATGGAACAACACCTTCATGCGTTCTGACTGAGAAAAATACTCACAATTGGTTTCCTTTCGTTTCGTTGACCCTTGTCACCAGACATCCAAAGTGGTTACATTCTGGTATCTTCTGGATAGCTCCTTTTGTTGATGTTGTCTTTTTTATTCTGCCAGAATAACATTCCTAGCAATGGCTTGACTGACTTTTTCTCCGTACTTCATTGAATCGACGACGACGCAGTTTTACATATTTTCTTTACAACTCGCGCACTGTAGGCCCCGCACTCATATTTTTGTGTACGGGGCTCCCGAGACTTGGAAGACAATCAATTCCTCCGTTGATGATCTGAGTTGCTTTCTCTTGTGGAGCCTTAGACGCGATGCACTTTACTCTCACGATTTTGTCGACGGCGTTGAAGGGAAGCTACGGAGCCTCTTGAAAAAAACAAGTTGGAAGTGAATTCTAGCGTATTTTTATTCCGTGAACCCGAATACCTCAACAATTTGCTGCGGAAGTATTGTTAAACGCGAGAAAATGCGAAAGACAGCCGGTGTTTGTTTGTTTGTTGGTGTTTTATGGCGCAAGGGCAACACGAGGGCCAAATAGCGCCAAGATCCTGTTTAGCTGATTTAATATGTAGTATGTTAGTGCTTATGGGTAAAACTAATGTGCTATGTTTAGCTAATATACAAATGGGCAATAAGGCCTATAGAGTGTAAAGGGCTCCAAAAATTCATGTATACTAGAGAAGTGACTTGAGGCCACTTTTTTGAAGGAACGTGAATAAGTCTTTGAGTGGAATCTGAGGTTCAGGACCTAACACCAAACACGGATGAAATGGAATGTTTAATCTTC